GGGGTGAGTGCTCGAGACTGCACCCTAGGCAGCAGTGCGCCCTAGGCGGCTGCCTAGTTTGCCTAGTGGCAGCACCGGCACTAAGTACAGTGTCTGCCTCTGGTTGAGTAATTACCTGTTGTTTATACCCTGGGAGGCAGGTTGGGTCTTCTGTTAGACCTAACACAACATCATACTTTTGATTAACGGCCTCAGGGTTGTCACTATAATGAGACAGACTGATGCTGTTGCCTTAAACGGCATCTCTTTGCGTCACGTGGTGGGGCGGCAGGCAGAGCGGCATGGCCTGCTACCCTCTTTCCGGCTAGACCATCCCAGGCGGGGAGATGTGTAAGGGCCATACATACACATCTCTACGCCCAGCTCTTGGCAACCTGGGTTGCTTTTACCAGCATACCGCTGAGCGGACTGGTTGTCAGGAGCTCGGCGACATGCCGGCTAGAGGGTCCCATGTTGCTAAGAGCTGCGCAGGGAAATGCAGAGCTCTTACACATCTACCCACCTCGGCTCTTAGCGGGGTCACTCTCCACCAGCAAAGTCCCCAGCGGATTGTTCTCCATCCAGCCCACACTAAAAAGGCTAGGGATGCCCCTGTACAGTCTTATAGATAGGTTATTCTCGGGTGGAGGCAGCATTGTATTATGCTTCTTTCTATGAGTGTGGGGATTCATACTTGAGAGTGCACCATGTTTTTCTTTGATAATGTAAAATGTTTCTAATTAGGTCGATAATATTAAAATAAATATTAATTCCTGGTGATCATGCCATTAAGGTCCTCGTCCAGACAGTCCCTGTAATTGTGCTCCTGCATTGCCAAATGGGTTTTTGATGGAGATTAAAACTGACCATTTCAACACAAATTGGAATGAATTGGAAAGGTGATTGTGAGCCAGGTCTTCTCTTCCAACATCAGTCCCTGACCTCACAAATGTTCTTTTGGCTAAATGGGCACAGACTCCCACAGATACCCTACAAAATGTTGTGGAAAGCGGGTACACAGAAGAGTCAGGACTGTTATAGCGACAAAGAAGGGTCAACCCTGTAGTCTTGGGATGGGATGTCCACCAATGTGTGATGGTCAGGTGTCAAATCTTTGACCATATAGTGTATCTACTAAGCTACCGTGGTAGGGAAATAAGATTTCATACAGATACACATACAAGTGGCAGAAGGTATCATTTTACTTGGCTCTAGTTGTGTACTTGACTTCAAAGCAGAATATTTTCCATGAAGTTATGAACTTACAGATCATCCTGTGAAGTATATCAGGAGATATGCAATTATAAGTTGTTCCGCGCATGCAAGCATTTTGATTTCCCGTGTAAACAGCGGGAGACGCATTTACCGGCTGTTCTGCTGCCGTCAAGATTCCATTTATGAACTCCATCTCTGCATCTATTTTTCACATGCTGACTTATTTCATGCAAGTGTAACAGTCAAAGCAAATAAAGATAATTAGAATGGAATTCAGACGCCGGGTCAAATGGGGGCATTTCAATTATCTTCAACTAAAGCTTTAAAGGAGAACTATGAGGTGGGTGCTTTTCACTCACCTCATAGATCTAGCCGACCTGTGACAATGAGACTGTCACAGGTCGGCTCAGTAGATCGGGAAGTGAGCGAACACATAATTGTCCGGATCCGCTTCAGCTGCGGCG